AGAAGAGAAGAGAAGAGAAGAGAAGAGAAGAGAAGAGAAGAGAAGAGAAGAGAAGAGAAGAGAAGAGAAGAGAAGAGAAGAGAAGAGAAGAGAAGAGAGGGAGAGAGGAGATGTCAGGGAAACGATCTCTTCCATATTTGTAAATCTCAGGCAAAGAAAGAAACAAGGAGGATTTTGCTGTTATTCTTTTTAAAATCAAAATCCCCTGTCTCTGTACACCAGGAATAGACATATAAATACCATGTCCAAAAGTAATAAACACAAAACAAATTCATTGCCATCAAGTCAGAGCTGAATTTCCAAAGGGTTTTCTAAGGTAGGAGACTGGACTGGAGGCGAGTGCCCATCCTTCTCCTATGGAGCTGCTGGTAGACTGGAATCACCAGAGAAGAACCACCTTTGGGTGAGCTGCACAGCTTCCTACGGACTAAGCCACCACAGCACCCATCCAAGAAACCAATGGGTCCCGATTATTCCCACAGACCCATATTCTCCCTCCACTGAGGATCTCTTTGGGTTGGGAAGAACAAAGTGATAATGGATTCTTTTTTAATTTTCCCAGTGGTCTTCCTTGACTTTGGAGGTCATATTTTCCCCCTTGATCCTGGAGAACCTGCAGCCTCAAACTGGAGAAGGTGTGTATCTAGTCATCAGCAAGAACTTTTAGACAAAAGGAGCCTGTTAGGAATTCACACCAGAGTTGATCTCCTGTGTGGATCTCATGACTGTACATCTTGACCTCAGGTGTGGAAATTTGGAATCTACACCTAGAAATCAACGCAACTTGTTGACACTGTCTTCTCTTTCTTCCCAATAAAGGACTAACTGACTTTTATTCTCCTCCACTTGTAGTAAGGCTCCATCATTTACTAAGAAAGCAAAAGAAAGCAGACACAGCACAGTAGCCACAAAGGCGATTCTTGAAGCTTACATCAGGGGAGAGGAAGGAGCAGGGAAAAGGCACCACATATCTGCACGATTTAATGTGCTATTTCCCCTCAAGACATTGGCACGTGTCCTCCTTACCAAATGTAGATGTTCACGGAGCCACGTGGCAGGACTGGACATGCGTCATGTACACAAAGGTAGATGGATAGATAGGTGTAACACCACGCCACAAATCACAACTGGTAAACTATACCATGAATGCCAAGAGAACTCAATGGGTGGCTCTCTAAGCTGGGATAGAAGTGATTTCCACCGTGTGAAAGATGGGAAGAGAGTGGTACATGACCACTTCCCATCAAATAAGTAAGTGGTGACTCGAGACTGGTAAGGGTTTGGGGAGGTGGCAGTGGCCACAAAAGCAGACCAGACATTTCACGAGAAGAATTCCTATGGGTAATTGTAATTATACTCTTTAACACTGCATATTAAATCACTCCTCCTGGACCTCGGACGTGATTGAACTTGAAAATGCAAAGGCTTTATCGACATTGCCAACCCAACCTTGCCTTTTGTCCTTTCCTGCTTGCATAAAATGGAATCTTTACAACCAAGTGCTGAAACATAAACCATGTAAGTGGGACAAAACTACACATCTACTTACAAGGTCTTCACTACTGTAGCACCTTTGTTTGTTTGTTTTTTGACCAGGGCCAATGCATTCATTTTGCAAAGAACAAGAGAAGTCTGAGAAGCTTAAGGACTCACATGACACATCATTAAATATTTAATCACTTTTTAAAAAGTCCTAAGCTTTTATCATATTTCATCCTTCTAGACAGTTCATTCTATGCTATAGATTCCAAGGCCCCCTCAAGGAAGAAGGGTAAATTGGGAGAAACCTTCTGAGTGGCAGGGTTAAATTATCTCAAGAATGAGTTTCCATTGGCGACGTTGTGAACTCACTTCACCCCGTAAACCCACCAATCCACAGGATTGAGTCCATTGATTTTAGTCTCCAAGAATCTGTTTTACAAAAGATGCCACATCTGTTGCTTTGGATTCATGTTGAGTGAAAAAAGGATGTTGCTGGAAAAGAAAAGGGGGGTGGGGGGATATGTTATTAGTACTTGTTACTGACAATACATGAGTTGAGCAAATAAACAGATTTCTGTGGTAAATGCATTAAGTACATTCATCAGGTTCAAGGTGGTACAAATGGTTAAGATAAAAGGTTGGAAATTCATGGCCACCCAGAGGCACCTCAAATAAAAAGGCCGGGTGTTCTACTTTTAAAAATCAGCCACTGAAAACTAACAACCCCAGTTCTACTCGGACATACGTGGGGTCACCATGTATCACAGTCAGCCTTATGGCCACTGGTTTTATGATTTGGTTGAAGCCAGTTTCTTCCTATCCTTTCCTGTATCGAGGGCATGTCTAGTCAGGGAAATGTTTGAAAGATATTACTTAGCTGTCACTTCTATTTGGATTTCAGTATGTTTCCACTGCATTGCTTTAAGGACTAAGGTACACTTGACTCCAGCCATGACATTTCCAAGAACCTCGTATACACGCAAAATCTAGATGCTAAATAAGTCAGGCCAAAGAAGGTTTGATGTATCTGAATTATGGTAGTGGTGGTGAAGAATATTGAATGTCAACCAAAAATCCAAATATAGCAACAATCACTGAAGAGGCAGGACTTGACAGGGATCTATTCTATTGTATGTAATAGATTACTATGGGTCAGAACCACCTTGAGAGAACCCAACATTAGACACTATAGACCATCTATTCCTTTAGGGGATAAGTGGCAACAGATGAACTATTGTTGTCATTGTTGTTCGGTGTCATCAAGTTGACTGCTATGTGTAAATCTCATCTCAGGTAAATATAAGAATTAGCAAATCCCCAATCTGCAAATAACTCTTCCCCCCCACGCACACACACACACACAATAAAAAAAAATTTATTTTAGACAGAGATAGTAGAAAAAGAATTAAAAATTCCAGAGATGTCTGCACATTAAAGACAGGAAACTATTAGGAATGCAAAACCAATTTTGTAAAATAGTAAATGTACAAAACAGAGCCTACTCTTACCCTCAGAGATTTGGCTTGGATTGAAACCATTAACAAGGCCCTTTTCTATCTTTTTTGGGGGGAGGGGGGTGATCCCATAGTCATTTTTTAAGTAAACTTTGTACTTTATACTAGTTTGCTATAAAACTTTGTATACAAAGTTTGCATACATTGTTTTGACACTGGATCTTTCCTGTTTCCTTTACCCACCCCCTATCTCTCTACCCATCAAACTGCAAGACCCTATGATTACCCTCTGCCCATCCTCACCCTCTGCTCTTACCCTCCTCCCTTGAATCCTTATACCCATTTTCTAGTTATCTATTTCTACAGTAATGGTTTTATGCAATATATGTCCTTATGAGACTGAGTTATTCACTTAGCATAATGCTCTCCAGTCTCTCTCAAGTTATGAAGTCATTTTCAAAATCATTGCTCCTGCATGCTGCATAGTAGTCCATCATGTGAATGTACTAAAATTTTCTCAATCCATTCAACTGTGGTTGGACATTTGGCTGTTTCCATGTTCTTGGGATGGTGAGTAACACTGTTATGAACACTGGTGGACCAGTCTACGTTTGTGCCTCAGCTCTCATTTTCTCAGGGTGTATTCCAAGCAGTGAAATAGCTGGATCATGTGGAACTTCTATGTTGAGCTTTGTGGGGAAGCGCAAACAGCCTTCCAGAGGGGTTGTACCACTCTACAATCCCACCAACAATGTATAAGAGCTCATATCTCTTCCAACATTTATTACTTGCTGTCCTGTTAAACTTTACCAATGCTACTAGGATGAGATGGTATCTCATGGTGGTTTTGATCTGCATCTCTTTTTACTGCTGGTGATTTGGAACATTTCTTCATGTGTCTGTTGAACAAAGCCATTTTCTAAGTGACATCAATAACCATGAGTTATCCTTAGATATCTCCTGAGAAAGAACTGATCCACTTAGAAAATAATGCAGACTATTGAATTCTATGTACCAAATAAAAATCCACTGCCATCGAGTCAGTTCTGACTCATAGCAACCTTCATGCAAATGTCTGAGGCTGTAAACCTTGATGGGAAGAGATTAGTCTATGCCACTGGTGGGGTCAAGCTACAGAGCTGTCAGTTAGCAGCGTGACGTGGAACACACCACATCACCACAGAAAACCCAACAAAACAAAAGCAAAAAAGAGCAACAACCTAGTCCATTCCTAGTGAGCTCTCATCAGATTTCCAAGGCTGTCCACCCTGATGGGAGGAGACTGCCCATGTTCCTTCCTTTCTATAGATCTGTTCTGGTTAGAAATGTAACTCACTGTGCCACCAGGGTTCCTTAGTTCTATGGACAGGTGGAGAAAAATCAATTCAGATAGTAAAGGTTGACAGAAAGGAAAATGGGGTTTAAAAAAATAATAATAATCCAGTCTGATATAGTATACCTTTTCCCTTAAGTGAACTATCCAGATTAGGCAAATGCATGGAGACAAAAGTGGAATTGCATCTATTAGGAAGGTGGTGGGGAGTTATCGCTGAAGTGTACAGAGCTGCCCTTCGCACTGATGAAAACCTTTAGGACCAGGCAGTATATATAGACAGTTACACAAATGGCAGATGTTACTAAGTCCCTTGAGTTGTACACTTACAATTAGGAAATACTTTGTCAAAGGTATTTCTGAAGACCCTCTTCTCAAAAAAAAATCAAGAAAGAAAAATCAAAATCCAGCATTTTGTGGCAAGAACTAGAAGATAAAACAAAATGCAAAAGAATTCTTTTTAAACCACTCAAAAACAAACAAAGCCATTGTCTCTACATCAGAGCAAGCTGCCCCTACATGGCTCAGTCTGGTTGCAGTGAGGACTGACGGTCACCGTAGAACCTCACACTTCTAATTAGAAACATGAACCAAATCCACTGGGATCAAGCCCATCTGGAGTCGCAGTGACCTTACCAGACAGAGTACAACCAACCCAAAGTGCTTCCTAGACTGTTTATTTATATACGTGTGTGTGTGTGTGT